AGCATATCATGTGAAAATAAAAGATTTTTTGACCATGAATGGATGTAAAATAAAGAGCATAATTGAGGACTTACTGTAAAAGCAACCTTATTATTTTTATTTATTTATACAGATTAACATTTAATTTATAAAATTGGCTCTGCTCAATATCTACTCATCATCAATGTAAAGCTTCCAATATCATATGTTCATGTTTGTGGTCTGAGTTTTCTTTATTTCCCAAAAACAAAATAATAACCAAGTCCAAGAAAGAAGTGTGTTTGTACATTTCCGTTATTACTCACAGCATAATTCTATAAGCCGCCTACACAAAGTAACAAATAAGCACTCAAGCTAGTCTTTACTCAGTTTAATAAATTCATTAAAAGTAGAGCAAGAAGACATAATGAAATTATTCTTTTACAACTCCCACATGGCACACAGACAAAACTTACCAGTTAATGCGCTAACAGACTGAAGGAAACTATTTCACCTTTTCACCTCCTTAACTGCAATTCTGAAATCTTTAACACTAATACAGTTTAAACTAGAAGTTTACATACACTTTAAAAAAAGGCACATAACAATTTAAAAATGTTTGATATTAAATCATAGTGAACGTTTACTATTTTAGGTTCTTTAGGATTACCAAAATGATTTACATTTGCTAAATGCCAGAATAATGAGAGAATTTAATTAATTAATTAATTTATTTATTAAATTATTAATTTTATAATTTAGAATATTAATTTCTAGACAGTCAAAAGTTTGATTATTTCCATAGTATTTTTAAGCTTTGCCTTCAAATGGTATAACTTGGGTCAAACATTTTGGGTATCCTTCCACAAGCTTCTCACAGTAGTTTGCTGGAGTTTTGGTCCATTCCTCCTGACAAAACTAGTGTAATTGAGTCTGATCTTTAGGGTAAAAAGCTGAAGGTAAAGCAGCCTTTGAGATTGCCTCATCCATTGCCAGTGGATTTGCTTGTCATATTCCAGAAAGGGGGTGAAATCTTGCTTGATAGGACATTTTATGGAACTGCTGACTTCTGCTTGACATTTTTAAAAAGTGGTTATGTGCCTTTTTTATACAGTGCATGCAAACTTGTGGTTTCAACTGTATATTTGGCATTATTGTAAACCAAAGAACAAATATTCAATGCACTTACTATAAAATTGTACTATTAATAATATTATGTTCTTCTTTTCCCAAGTTGAATGCTTAACCCAATCTATTTATTCATCATTCTTCAAGGTTTAATTTATCTTCATGGAGAAATTCTGTGAAAATCCCTTCTCGTGTTCCTGACTTAGGATTGAGGTGGAGCTAAACCTCTGCTATACAGGAAATACTGTCACTACCACTGGCACTATTTAAAGCAGTCTATAGACAGGCTGTCTATTTAAAAGCTCAGTCTAACCCCACCCAGACATTGCCTGGATCACTAACAATTGATGTCAGCTGAGCACAGAGCTCATATAATGGCTAACGGCACAAGCTAATTGTTGTTTTTGCTTCTAGATGGATGGTGATTATTAAGGACCCATTCCTATAACGAGCAGAAGAATTTAATGGTCGAAAATGTGGTTACTATATGCAGAGCATGTGTGGATATTTAGACTGCCCTGTGTGCTATCGAGCGAGCACAAAAAGCTGAACTAATGTAGCTCTATTGTGAAAATATTTTAAATAAAAAAAAATGATTCATGAGGTTTGAAGCATTGCTACTGGTCAAGAATCATAAATTAATTTTGTGTGGCTCTGATGTTAATTTTTAATGATTCATAAGATGGTTTGAGAAGTACTGTAAGGGAAGAGGTGAGAAATCGGAAACAGGATGGGAGCAAAAATGTAGACTTTTGCATGAGGAACCAATTAGAGGGTCAATAATTCTTACAAAATATCCTACATGTTGCACAGTGTACGACATGAAAGAAAGAGGCAAATGAAATAACCAATTTTACAGCAGTGTAGCAGTTGACCTTTTCAACTTTCTTATCCTCAGGGAAGAACATCCTACTCTCATACATTTACGCATACTATACCAATAAAATGTGTTTGCAGTTCATCTAAGACAAAATAGCAACCAAACATGATGACCGCAGATGCCAGCTAAAGCAAAGCATAATTTAAAAAACACTGGGTTGAAGTGGATTACCCTGCTATTTTACACCTTCGTGTAATCCACGCATGGCTAACCCTGCTAAGCCTGTGCTAGCCGCACTAAGAGATTCACCTGTATGTCACATCTATTCGAGGCTACAGTAATTGTCGCTGTCACTTTTTGCTACTGGGTTACCTAACACCGAAAGGCCTGCGATCTGTCACTCACACACCTTTGGTTTTCCATCTTGACTTGTATGGTTTTTATACTGAGCAAATTATAATCTGTTTACCGTAAATCTAATGCTTGCAGACAGAAACATCATCTGACAATTAACTTTTAGTCATTTTAAAACGGCAAAATATTTTTTATTTTAGTTTGCTTGTTTTTACCTTTTTGTCCTTGATTTTTTTCTCTGTATATTTAATATATTAATATTTATATACATAAATAATATTATATTATTCATACTTAAGCTTTATTTTAACAAAAATAATTTTACAGTTAATATTAGTGATTGTACTGATTTGACGATTCTTGTGAGACATTAAAAATGCTAATTTTAGGTAAACCCTACAATACAGTAATTTGCTGTCATATTTTATGCATTAAAAGAAGTAATTCAATCTCTGCTGCAAAGTTGTTTTAATTCTAGAGTTATATTGTTTTTTTATAATAATTGTTGATTTTAGTGATTTTACAATTCACTTTTTGAGATACCCAAATTGCAGATAAAACTTGCATGATGCTGTATTTTGCTAGAATGTAGTGTAATAAAAAAACCTAACATATGTAATCCTTAATCTTTTTACATATATACAAGACCACAATAATTCAAAATACTTTTGAGAACTGAATCTTGTAGCCTAGAGTTTTTGCTTCAAAATGATGTGAAAACCATCTTGTTTACTTGCTTACAGAAAACAGTTTATTGATTTAAAATTTCTAAGACACTGAAAAGCTCCATGGCATATAAACTCAAACAATTTTTTATTTTTTTTTGTTGTTCATTCAAACTACACTAAGCTGAAACAAGACAATTCTTGAGATTACATTGGGACGACCTATTTTTTTATGTTCAATCCACAAATTTGTTAAAAGTGTTAAGTTTACTTGATCAATATGTGTTGGGACAACATGAATGAATTGTGTTGAACCCTGCGTTTTTTTACAGTGTATGTGAGGGGGCATGAATTATCATTACTACTGCAGTGATTCACACCTGAGAAGACCTGCATAATGAGCTGCTAAAGTATGTTTATACATTTTCTGTTTATTGATAATCTTTATTATATGTTTTCTGTTTAATGAGAATATATTTAGCTATCACACAAAATAACTTAAGATTCACATTTAAGTGCGGTTAAACAGTTTATTGCAAAAAATGTATGTTTTTATGTTTTAATGTTTCTTAGACATTAATCCATCCTATTAGAATTATTTTTGAATAATTCTATGACATTCAAAGTAACGACGAAAGCTTTGATCACAAAAATAAATGACTTTTAAGCAAAAATACAATTCTACTGAAGATAAATAGCCTCCTATACCACAAATGGCCTAAATAAAGTAAAAGCAAATGTCCTCTTTGGATGAACTATCCCTTTAAATTATCTTAATTCAAGGTTGTTTTATAGGTTTCATAAAAGTAAACTCTTAATTTTAAGACGAATGATGACTGATAATCCCTATTTCAAACACAACCGTTTCAGACACCTCCAAATAAATCATGGATTTCATGAAAACTGCTGGACTAAATACTTTTACCTAATAAAATTATTTTCTTCATGATTAAATACAATTTTAGAGAATTTAGACAATAAACTAATGGTTAATGTTCTGTCAATGTTTTATGATGTAAATTGTTGAATTTCAAAAAGCTCTCAGAAATTGCATTCAGTAGAAATCATAGCAACATTTATCTTGAGATACCCAAAATGCAGATAAAACTTGCATGATGCGGTACTTTGCTATACTTTATTGTGCAATTAAAAACCTAATATATGCTTAATCCTTTACATATATATACACAAGATGACAATAATAAGCTGGTGTACTGTATCAGAAACCGGCATATGGTTTGTTCTGACGTTCCTCAAAAAAATTGCATAACACATGTTTGTAATCCATGTACAAGAGAGTGGATGACCCACATAATCTGATGTCATTAAGAATATGTGATAGGTTACTCGCATCAGAGGAAATTCTACAAACAAATTATGATTAAGTCTTCATTATTTATTAGCTTTAACCCATTAGATTTGATCCAGTGTGACCGTACACCAGCCCTCATGCAAAAGGACAGACAACGGTGTTTAGAAGCCGGTGACATGATACTTAGTTTATCTGATCCAGTGTTATAAATAAATGATATGTTCTGGTTACATAAAAACCTCCGTCACACATGTGAAACGAGCCATCCTGATCCTCCCTCCAAAAACACAGCTGACAACAGCGCTCACATGCGCACACTGAATTACACACATGAACACCTCCCTTTAAAGAAACGGCCTTGAGCAGACACACAACTCAAATGAGTGCAGTATGATGTGTACGTATGAGTGCGTGTGTGTGTGTTGAACTCCATATACAAAGAGAATTCTGAGGCGGCCAGCTGGGCACATAAGCCGTAACTGCAAAATCCAAATAATCCTTTACAAAGACAAGCTATAAAGGGGGGTGAGACGAAAGCACAAAGAAAAGAAAAACATTAAATATCCCTGCTATTGTACATTAGAGTGCATATGCATGTGTGTGTACATACGAGCGTGTGGTGATGTTTAAGCTGTCCAGCACCTTCAGCTTTACACTGAGTAACCGGAATGTCAAGCCACCCAAAATAGCCGGACAGCTTATGGCATTTAAAACCAAGGCTGTACACGCAACAAGAAGAGATATAAATAGACCAAGCCCTCACCTTCCATCATGATTGCAGATTTGCATTCCTCTATCTCCAAGGAGCCTGAAATGGGAGGAGGGGAGGAGAGAAGCCCCTGGTTACCAGATGGAGAGATGTTAAAAAACGAAACCAAATAAAAACAGTCTTCCGGCCTCCAAAACCCTCGGGTTTAAAGTCCCCGTGTGCCTCGTACGACGGGCCGTCAGATGTTTTAGGGCTCCGTGTTTAGGCCATGGATGCTGCTGCTGCTGCCCACTGCGGCTGCGGTCTACACGATCACCAAAGGATGCTGAAAAGGGGGCAGGAAAAAAGCAGAGTGGAGAGAGACAGAGAGAGGGAGGGAGGGAGAGCTTGCTTAGGTCATCGCTTGGCTCAGCCAATCCCGCAGGCTCTGCTGCATGTCACATGGTGAGCGGTTCATCGCTTCTGTCAGAGTCCTCACTGGGAATTCACACACACACACACACACATATATACATACACACACACAAGCACACAGCTTACCTTGTTATGGTGCAGCGTGCTGCTCCTGCCAGAACAGAAAGGGAGCTAGATTAATGGTGCGTTTGGTGTCACACGACTAAATACAGGAAACTGAACACACAGACAGACTGGGAGAGAGTTTCTTAATGGCTACATTTGTAAAAGTGCACATTGAGGCTCAGCTGGCAGCGCTGTGACAAATCAATCACTGACATTACATCTGACAGAAACAGTGGCTGACCAGAAGAGGGAGGAGCCAGAGCTCAATACTCTGACTATGACAGAGGAGGAGGGGAGGAGAGAGAGAGAGAGAGAGAGAGAGAGGGAGAGAGGGAGAGAGGGAGAGAGGGAGAGAGAGAGAGAGAGAGAGAGAGAGAGAGAGAGAGAAAGAGGGAGGTAACATGTTTGTGTCATGCCTGGGATTCATTTTATATGAGGAGGTGGGTCTCGCCTTTGGATTACTAATGAAAAGACAAATAAAAAACAACAGAGATGGCCTGATTAAATGTCCTTCTGTTTCACAAATGCATCAGCTGCAGTTTGAAGACAAAAAAAAAAAAAAAAGAAAACAGCTGATGATTTTGTGAGAAACTATTTAATTTATTGTAATGAATACCCTAAAGATTGTACTACATTGCTAAAAATATAGAAAAAAAAACCTTTATAAGTAAAATTTTTTACATTACTATTTAAAAGTATGGGGTTGGTAGGATATTTCTATATTTTAGAAGATATATCATATATGCACCAGAAACAAAATACATTTATTTCATCAAAAAGCAATCAAAAACAGTAATAGTGAAGCACAATTACATTGAAATGAGTGTGTTAAATGAGAAAAGCATTAATAGACTTATATAATATGATTTAGGGCGACTCGATGGCACAGTAGGTAGTGCTGTCACATCACAGCAAGAAGGTCGCTGGTTCGAGCCTCGGCTGGGTCAGTTGGCTTTTTTGTGTGGAGTTTGCATGTTCTCCCCGCGTTCGCACGGGTTTCCTCTGGGTGCTCCGGTTTCCCCCACAGTCCAAAGACATGCGGTTCAGGTGAATTGGGTAGGCTAAATTGTCTGTTGTGTATGAGGGTGAATGAGTATTTGCATAAAACATATGCTGCATAAGTTGGCGGTTCATTCCGCTGTGGCGACCGCAGATGAATGAATGAATAATATAATATAATATAATATAATATAATATAATATAATATAATATAATATAATATAATAGAATAGAATAGAATAGAATATATATTATATATATATTCTGTTGTGTATGAGTCTATTATATATATATATATAATATATATATATATTCATCATATCACATCTATTATATGTTATTTGGTACATTTAGAAAGCAGGCTGATATATTATGTTCCATAAATGAAGAAAAGCAATACAAAAATAAAGGTATGTGAGCGTTCACTGTGGATGTAGCTTTTCCATATTGATAATTTACAGGTATAGAATAGTACCTAAAATGTACAATTGTTCACTATTTAAAAAGCCTCCACCACAGTGACAACTTTGCCCATAATTACTTGAGTGTAGGTGGCAGGATTTTTTTAATGAGTCAGATATTATTATTTATTTATTCTTTTGATTTGTTCAAATAGTTGATTTATTCATAAATTAAGAAAATTGTGCTCCTTTTAAATGGGCCATTAACTATATTTTTTTATTTAACCTGATACTTTTAAACACATTTTCTTTTCTAAGCAAAACACGTGTGTTGATCAAAGCAACAACAGTCTGCTGTATCACCACATATGGTAAATACTCTTATCTTCAAAATTGGGGAAAAAAATAAAGGAGAGCAAGTGATATCACACAAAACGTAAATGAATAAAAAAAAAAATTGGTTCATTAAATGAATTGACATAATTGCTACATTCCAATTTGCATACTAACAGTCATAAATATTATTTAAAAAAAGAAAAAAAAAGAATTACATGTAGAATGTCCTAAATCATTTGTTGCATCCAAAATGACAAACTATGGATGGAGTGCACTTGTACAATTTGCACTTATAGCAGGGGTGGGCAATACTGTACATTTTTCCAAGGGGCCATATGAGACTCTGGAAAGGTTTTGAGGGCCAGACCAATACAGTTAAATGTTTTCCAAATCAAAAAAAAGCATTATGTGAAACTATTCAAAAAACATTCATAAAACTCTAAAGTTTATAAAAGAAACGTAAAAATGTGAGTGTGATATACCGCATGTGCATCGCTTTCTATTTTTGTGCTGAATCTGCACATCTCCATTTGAAATAACAAAACTGAGTGTACAAAAGATGCTATATGTGAAAGTGCCATTGTGTTGACTTGCAATATCAGACCTGTGTGAAACACTTCATGCAGGCCGAAAAATGAAGTCTAGCAGGCCGCACGTGGCCTGGATGCTTAAAATGCCCAGGTCTGACTTATACAATAAACCATGTTGTGTATGAGTCTACAATTATCCCAAATAACACACTAACAAACTGTATTGCACGTTGGAAGAGAATTTAATTAGAACTACAAACAATGGCAAAAGTCTTAAACTACAAATATGGTGGACATGCAAGACCAAAGTTTAAATAGAGAGGCTTTTTGTACATATGTCTGAACGATTGTTAATTAATATCTAATCTTCTGGAAAATATATATTTTCTGCATAATATTTCATTTGCAACAATGTGAGCTTATAAAAGACACGTTTGGTCATTAACTTCTGAATATAAAATTATGCAAACAGCTAAAGACATTTCTCAGCATGAAAAGACAGATTAACCTGCTGCTGCATTTTTATGACTATAAAATATAAATGTATGCACAGTAAGGAATATGTAGTAGAACTGAAACCACAAATTACAATACAAACAAAAATAGCCTGCTGATTTTCAGTTTTATCATCATCTCTCCTTAAGCACTTATACAACAATACTGTATATATCTGCATTAAGTCTAAAATCAACTCTATGCAATAAAAACAAACAGGAAGTGTTCAGTCATGAGATGCTGTTTCATTCTCAATCCTCTGATCACTTAAGTCATGCTCAGGTCCATGTGAGCATCTCTTCTTCTTATCATTGTCTGTCTCTAGCGCCCTCTATCGCAGTCTTTATCTAACTGGCTGAACATAACACTCTATAAACGCCCAGTCATTTACACACGGGCCACAGTGACCAATATATTGACAGAGATACATCGCTCCACAATTATCAATGAACATATACAGGTTTCCAGATCACATTTAGCACCCTTTAATGTTGAAGATATGGTCAAAATGATGCCTAATCAACCCAATCTACCCAGCCAGAAAACACCCAGACTCGCACCACCCTATAGAGCAGATGCTGTCTGTGAATACCCTCCCCCACTCCACTCCACCTCTTTTACACCCTACACTTCCCAATGGAGCAGATCTTATCCTTCCAGGGTGCAGGTGCATGTGTGTTTGTGTTTACAAATGTAGCAAAATAAAGCCTTAAGGTCTTGTCTCGAAAATGAAAGCAGACCACAACAATCTTCACAAATTGTAGTTCTTGTGATATGCATTTCTGAAATGATCTTATTCAGCTTTTCATTATTACAAAGAAGTGCCAAGTATTTCTTTTTTTTTCGGTTTTGTCTGATAATAATTTTTAGGATTTAGAAAAAAATCTATGTAAGGCAGGATTTTATATTAATAAAAACTCTGTATTAAAATATATTAATTGTGTACAGTCCCTGACAAAAGTCTTGTTGCTTGTGTACAAAATAGGCCAGTATAAGTTTCTAATAGTATGATAACCTTGGACAAAAATATTTCAGTTTCACTATTGTGATTACTGCTCTAAAATATGCTATTCTTAATGTCTGGGTAAAAAAACTTTTTCCCCCTTTGAACACAATGGCTGCATCTGAAATCACATACTTCCATACTTCTATATAGTACGCTACAACAGTAAGCGAGCCGAGCAGTATGTCCGAATTCAAAGAATAGGAAAACAGTATGCGAAAAATGCGCATCCTAAGGACGCTACACATACCATTATGCACAGTGAGAGAATTCATATAAATGAAAGTGAAGCAACGCTACTGACTCTGGTATGTCATGTGATGATGACAATCTTTTTTTTTTTTTTTGAGAAACAGTATACATGGCTATCAGGCTAAATAGTTCAAATGACTTAGGTCATTGACTACAGCTATCTTCATTAGTTTCTAAACCACAGACAGTAGGACAACAGTTTTAGAACAACAGTATCTTCAGCAGAAATTATATCCAAAGATGTCGTTTTGAATTGTAAAGAGTTACAATCTTTGTCAATCTTGTAAAGAGTTAAATCCAGCGATATAATTTCTGCTAAAGATAACAAAAAATAAAATAAATAAAAATAAATAAAATTAAAAACTATTTTACATTCAGTTGAAGATTAAAAAAAAATACAAATATTCAAAGGGGGCTAATAATTCTGACTTCAACTGTATATCATAGGAATAGTATAACAGATTTAAAACAGTATTTAAAACCTTAACATTTCTAAACCGCGGTATCCCTTGAAAACGGTTATAGTCCAATGCCTACAAATTTACCTGAAGAGCCACTGAAGTATATTTCTAATCAAGATTTTTATTTTATTTTATTTTTATTTATTTTATTACAAGAAATGGCTCGTTTTAATCCCAACAGCTTTTTTTTAATAATGTTTCAGAGCAAAACAAAACTGTCAAAAAGTATTTTAATATTCCCAGCTTGCTAAAGCCCATAAAGTTCATTTTTCCAAAGACATAGGTTTTGTCGCCTTTTCATATGAGCTTTACATGTGACTAATAATGGATCAATTAGGTCTCAGGTGTGTCTAAAAAGAACCCCAGAACACTAGACCTTCACGTCATCAACTATGAATAGATCTCTGCAAACATGCCTAAGATTCACTCTGAGACTAAAGTGTTGATTATCAAGAGGCTGAAGACCAGATCCACTGCAGATATGGCAGTCACCTTCAGAATGGCTCAGCATCAAGAGAGGATAAAAAAAGATTTAAAGAGACTGGAGATGTTTTGGACAAGCCTAGGTT